TGCCAAAATAGATATGATGTAAAATTTATGCGCGCTGTTCGCAATTAGCTGTATTATCTTCATTAGCATAATTCGTTTCTAGCATTTCGCTGTAATAAACTGACGACACACCAATAAAATAACGAATTAGAGATCTTAAAGTACTGAGATGATGGTGTTATTACAACTGTTAAGACACTTATTCACCGGGAAACGGAATATAAAATAGGCCTTAATTGCCAAATTTTATTGGGCGAAAGTTGTTCATGTGGAATGCTTTTTAATACTAAAATAAAATCAAATAGTATCACAATTTCACCAAAATAATGATAGTCCAAAGTAATAGATTAGCATTGGTGTTGTTTATTCTGTTGATTTATTATTATTTTTATTATACAGTGACAGATGAAACCCAAGGAGCTCAAACGACACCATACAATGTAATGTAGTAAACATTAAAAAAATAAACGTCACACTATGTATATTTTTAGATTACATTATTGAATCGATCAAAATTTGTTTACCTTAGAATTTGTTTAAGTATTCTTTATACATACATGTTGTTAAGCATCCTTTAACGTTGATGATAATGTTTATAACACGACGTAGTTTAACTTCCTACCGTATACACGTGTCAATATCTAGATAGAAGAGTATCATTCGTATATGGTACTTTAAATGGACTATGTACATAAATAAACACTGATCTATCTGATCCTATAAGTATTGTACAGTTCATTTAATTTATTGTATTTTATTAAACGTTTGATGCCTTTAATTATTATTTATTATTTTGTGTCGTCAATTATTATTCGTCTTATAGTGTTCCGAATTTCGCTGGTTTCCTGTATGCATGGAAATTTTTGAACAGGCGCAATTTTTAAATAAAGATTTTCAAATAAATATGCAACAAACATCTCATCGGATTTATGAGATGGATAATAATAAATTTCTACTTTGACTATTGTTCTAAGGTGGCTAATATAAATACAATACACACAGTAACTATCGTATTTTTTTATGAATATAACGTCATACTACTACCGGATTATTAAAAACTATTCAATTGGAAATCTGCAGTATAACTAACGGTTTTCTTTATCCAGTCTTATGCTCAATCGACAGTTACGTAGTCTCACAAAAAGACAGTTTCATAATATGTAATGAATAAATGTAATATCGTCCGTAACGGAATTTTCTCTTATATCTTATCTATCAATCGAACGTACATTGTGTTGTCATAATGGGCACAGGACAGCTACAGGTCTGAATATTTACTGCTGCAATTGTATCGCCTTCATGAAAATCCGTAATACCAAAAAGTGCAAACTGTGTTACCTACATTGAAAATCACTTTCAAGCGTAATATAAAAGAGCGAAATTTGCAGATCCGTAATTTGATATCACAAATAAATTAGTATATTTCTGAATTATACTTTTTTAACATATTATTTTGGCGAAATATTATATTTGTGTATATTACTTTATCAGTTAAAAAAAAAAAAATCGAAACTGCCTCTCTCCTAAAACACTCGTAAAATCTGAAGTTAGGTCTATTATTGTCATAGTCAGCACTTCTTACAAGTCACCGTAAATGGTTAATTGGGGACAATAAATTTTATTTATGTTTTCCGTTTGACGAAAGTCTAAGAATATCTGAACAACTATTTGGGTTTTTCTGGTAAGTATTTTTTTAAATAAATATACCTGAAAATTTGTTTGTTGTTTGTCTTAAGTCATAAATGTTTAATTAGGTACCTACATGTCGAGTGAGCATACAGTATTTAATACCTGATAAATTAGACATTGAAAGGGCCTGTGCTACTAGATTTTAAGAAAAATGGCCAAAGTGAAAACAACTTAAAAGATTATCCTGAATTTAGATATTTCAACTGACGAAAGTGTTTTCTGCAAAGCATGTGAGAAAACAATAAGTATTTTTTTTTTAATTTATGTTGCGTATTTTTTAATACTATTTTAACTTGTTTTTGTCTTGGAAAAAAAATAGAGAATATGTGAATGCAAATTCCAAATTATCACAGCATGTTTCAACACAGTTTCATAAAAGGAAGTGTCAAAATCTCCACGATTCAAAACTGTCGCAAATCTTCTTGAAACAACTCTTACCGGAATAAAAAAAAAAAAGAACAGCAAGTACGTAATTTAGATTTATGTAAAGCCATGCTTGCAATGAATATTCCTAAAAATATCACAGACGCATAAAAATGATATATGTAAATATTAAATAAAAGCATCTTTTTACTTCCGCAACGTAACCGCAGTACGAAACAATAGGTCTCCTGTTTCCGTCTGTCTGTCTGTCTACCGCCTGTCTGCATTTTTATTAGACAGATAATCTCCGAAACTACTGAGCCAGATGTTAAATTTTACATGTGTATTACGAATATCGGTAAAACGCTAATCAAAATTTGGCTAATCATATCTACCAGCAATTTATTGACGTCATCTCCAAAATATACAGTAGTAAATATCGTTTAAATTTTATAAAATAAGATACTCCTGCACATGTGGATTATGAGCCCCTGCTGAATTTTTATCCTAGACATCCAGATTTTTTGAGACAAAAATCAAAATTGCAACATCTTGCAAAACCCAATGCTCTGAAATTTTTCAAACGTTCTAAGGTTATGGTAAGCCTGGTAAATCGTTAATATTTTTTTTTTCATTTATTATACCAAATATAAATTTGGTGATTCCAAAAGCATTGTTTGTTATTTCAAATCCAATTGTCATCTAAGTGATTCGGGTTTAAGGACTGGATTATCGGACGTTTTTGATGAAATTTCCAAATTGAAATCAGTAGAAAGAAAAATGAAAATGGTACGTTTCACGCTACATTTTTTTTCCATCTATTTAAGCTACTTTTTTACCTGTTTTTCATCTATTTTATGGCAGTATATAATTTTTTAACAAAACAGAGCATTTTTTCGTTGTTTTTTATGTTTTTTTACATTTCACCCCATTTTTAAGGTTACTTTCTAAAAAGTTGTGCATTTCTGAAGATTTTCACCATGATTCCAGCAGATCCATATAGAAATAGCCGACTTTGAGAATTTTACAAAAAAAAAAAAAAACTTCAACGACAAAATCAGCCTGTAAAAAAACACAAAACAACTTATAATGAATTAAAAAAACAAAATGTGGGGAGAAACGTACCGTTTTACTTACTACTAATTTCCCTTTCATTTTATAGGATTGCATAGATATTAAGATTTTTGAGAAAAAAATTAAAATTGTATAACAATAACAAAAACCCAAAATTTGTTCGTTTATGGCCTCTTAAAAAATGCTGACGTCATTTTATAATTGTACAGAACAAATGTTCCTTAAATTTTATAGAATTACATAGTCCATGTATGTGTAATTTAGAATCCGTGTTGAATTTTTACCCTAGACATCGAGATTTTTGAGGAAAAATTAAAAATAGTATTTAAAAGCGAATGTACTGAAAAATAGCGCAAACATTTTAAGGTTATAAGAAAATGAAAATGATCAATCAAAATTTGTTCTATTAAGGCCTTCCCAAAAAATCATGACGTCATCTTGGAATTCTGCCGAACAAATAAATGTTCTTTAAATTTTACTCTCAGCATACAGATTTTCGAAAAAAAAATCAAAATTGTATAACAATATTTTACAATCTAACTTTGAAATTACAAAAACCGAATGCTGTGAAAAAAGCAAATATTTTAAGATAGTTTGAAATATGATAAATCGTTAATCAAAATTTGTCTGTTATCTTACATTTTTACCGAATTTCTTCAAATTTATTAGTTCTTGGAAAAAAAAAACTTACTAATCAATCAGCCCTTTCCTTTGCGTTGAGGACACAAAATTAACCAAATTTCATTTTCCTTTAACCGATGATGCTTGTAATCTGAACGTGCTAATAGTCGAATTCGGTCGAAGTATAAACATTAACAGTTGAAGTTAAGCAATTATATTGAGAAATTGAATATGTCTACATTGTTCCCGTTATATTTAATGTTTAGTGAATCTTTCATAAATTTCTTCCTGATGTTCTGACAGAGAAGATTTTAGTTATGAGGCTGATCAAAAACTTAAAACTTTATATCCTAATCTGATTCACGTTACATATTTGGCGTACGGATTAAGTTAAGTCTTAAAATACACACTTCTGTTGATGTAGAAAGAATTTTTCTTCATACAAAATGTTATTGACAGATTGAAATGTAATTATAGCCATTTCCCGTGTTTTTGTTTCTAGTTCATTGTTCGTTTTTTCTGTAATGTCGGGGATAAATTACATATGTGCATATTTCGAAGAAATTTTGTGCATATAAATCCGCTCTTTAATCATAACACATATTGAAGATTTTACTGACTGCTAATTTTGACATTTTTTTTTACCACCACTGAGTGGCTATTTGATCTATTGAGTGCTTAAACGAAAATTGATGTCTCATCGTCAATAAGAAATGTTATATATTTTATTAAACTTCAAAGTACAATCGAGGAGCTTTCTAATTGCAATAGAACTAAAAATTATCTAAATAAGTCGGTTATGAAGAATCAAAAGAACGTATTCAAATTTAATGTCAATTATCTACCACTAGTAACATGATAATGTTTTAAAATTCAGTCTACTTGTATTATTGACTGTCCAAATTAGTCGATTCAATTTTTCTATTCATCTTATGCCACTTAGAATTTAAGAATAAAAATAAGTCAATTATTTCAATCGCGTTAAAACTCGTGATGTTTCACAATTTAATTTATAGATGACTTTTGTAAAAAACCTAGTTGATTTAGTGCTGACTGCACCTTGATTCTTCAGCAAAACAACCATCCTTTAAATTTCAAGTAAAAAATGTTAAGTATGTAGGAAGTGAGTAATTCCACCAACACCTAATAATTTGTTTTTTCGATATCAACAATATAAAAATAATCGCTTTCGTGTTCGATCTATTACTACCACACACCAGGTACCAGGAAAGCGTCGGTGTGCTTATTTGATTAATTTATGAAAGATGACATACCGGCTCTGAAGATTTCATGGCAACCATCACACCTGGAGGCGAACTGCTCGTCATAACAACGTCCACAGTAGATCCTGTCACCTTTGGACCCAAACTGCCTGTCGACCAGGGATTCCCCGCATGTTGTGCATAAGAAGCAGGCTTCGTGCCAATGCTTGTCTTTGTAAGAAAGGTCCTAACGAAAAAGCGCAAATTACACATGCAGTATTTAAGTAACGTAGCGACTTTACTTTTGAGTCGATACCAATGGTCCTGCTGCACTTCTCGCAAGCATTGGCGAAGACGGATTCGTAACATGACACGCAATAAGGATGCTCGTCGCGGAGGACGTAACGTTGACCAGTCAAACTTTCGTCGCATTGCCAACAACAGAAATGCTGTCCATGCCAGTCCTTGTTCATGGCCTTTGTGTATTCGCCACTAAAAATGAGCTGAAAAACAAGAGAACATCAGTAGAATGAGTGAAACCCACACACGAAAAGGATCAAAATATCAAGTATCGAAAACTGTAATTACATCTGCCATGTATGGAAGTTGACATTGATGGCATTCACCAAAGTAATAGAAAAGCAGCAGGCTATTTCCAATAAGATCGATAACGCGATGGAAAGTGTGATAACTCGCCGAATGGCCTTTTAGAGAGTATAAATCAAAGACTTCCAGCGGTTACATTGATTAGATTACGATTTTCGATTAAGAAAAATGGGGTGGATTTTAAGCTTCATAAAGGCTTTATGTGCTAGTTATTGGGTGTAAAAATGCTACACTGGCGAGGGTCCAAATCGCAACAGATGTTGTGTCTGTCTGCATAAAATCACTGCATAGAAAAACGTCGGTATCAGGTGTGGCAGCCCCAATTTATTCCACAAGCGCATTTTTAAGCCAGATATTAAAATGTATTGAATTTTAATTAAAAATTAATGTATTGGCTTCGCTCCAATTAAAATTTGTTGACATTAGTAAATTAAAGTACGCTTTTTACCGCGTGCACATTCAACCATATTTTAAATAATAATAAAAGCTCTGTTATCAAAAAAAAAAAAAAACGAGGGCTCTATGTACCTTTCGTTAACTCAGGGGTATGTGGTGGCATGTTTTAATCGTCGAGTTCATTTGAGTGAAAGTGTATATAGACAAAATTTATACCATTCTCGTGTTACGAATGATTGTGTAGTTCGATTTTCAAAAAAAAAAAAAATTAATATTCATCCAATTAATCAATCTTTAGTAAAGATTTCGGTTTTCGCTTTCTCGAAACAGGAGTCACAAACCGCAGAACAACATAGTTTATAAATAGATACTGGTCTTGAACTTGATCGCGGTCTGGTCCCAGATTAATTGACGGAATTGAAAGAAAATCATGAGATAGTTTAGGTTTCAGGCATCGATTGTGCCTTTTCGTCATCGGAAATACATCCGGTGGTTGCAAAATTCTAAATTTAGAACGTTGCGAAAACAACAACATTGTGCGAAATCGCGAGAATTTCATGTCACGGGGACCATTTCGGGCCCTATACACTTCCACTGGTCACTGTCAGGTCAGCGTTGGTCTTCGCTCCCCCGAGATGCCAACACATACCCCTGGGTGCCATTGGTGCGTTCGATTTCGGTGATGGTGACTTCGCTCCCGTGGTCACCACTCTCCCTTCTTTTGGTGGTCTTCTTGACCTTTTTGGTCTTCTTTTCGGTGATGGTAAAATTGGAATGGACCTCAACGTCTCCCATTTTCGAGGACAATACACACACTCTGTTCTAACAGTGAACTGCGACTGAATTCTGTTAGATGGGTAAATCGGTGAAGCTATTCCCTTTATATTTTTAGAAAATGATATGGGACGTAGTGCCGGGTGCAATATGCTTCTCTTGATTTGAGGTGGGTCGATGCTGTGTATGTGTATCTACACCAGACGAAAATACATCAAATACTTGACGCAATTTATAATTGCTTCTTTTTGCGAATCCCGTTCATTCCGTCCTGGGCGGACGACGGACAAACAGCAGGCAATTATCGCAAGAATGACGTAAACGGAGCTCCGATATTAATATGGGTGCCATTTATTTTTAACCGATCCATTTTATTTGGAATCATAAATCTTCAAAATCAATAGAATCCACCGCGCTCATTTCCGAAACGAATAAATCAACGGAATTGTTACTCATGATATTTATTGATGCAAACAAATAACGAAGTGCTTAAAAGCTTCCGATGTGAAATAGTAGACCGACTTTAGATCATTTTCGAGATATACTCGTAGAAGGACAATTATTTGCACTTAGTTACATTCTACAACTGCGAGTAATGGATGTGATATTTGGCCGCATAAAAATTCTTCGCATTTTAATCCTCGACTAGAACATGCTCGGTAATTAAAAATGATCACCAAATTTAAATTTTATTATGTAATAATTAATAAAAAACTAATTGATTGCCTTTCACTTTAAACATCATTGGCCCGATGTAAATTGATCGATCATACGAAAATATGATTCAACGCTTATTATTTTTGGTTGCTTTGCAGTCTATTATAAAAATATAAGTTTTATTTAAAATAACTTTTGTATGTGTGTCATGCTTGGCTGTGTTTGCCACTCAAATAATAATTTTAGGCAAAAGTAAACATCTTTCCAAAATTGCTTCATAAATTAATTTTAACTATTACAGTTTAACGTGAGAATTAAACATATTAAATAAAATGCAGGGAAGTATTAGGGGAAAAAAAAAAGTACGATAATTCAGAGACTTAGTTTTCTACTTATAGTCGTTCCCATGGCAATTGATTCAATAACATCATTTTTAATAGAACCAATAATTTTTAGTCAGCCCAACGTTTACAGAAATAAATCTTGTTTTGTTATAGTTAATGTCAGAATATGTAAGCAAAAATATCACAGTGTGCTTTTCTTGTCCAGCTTAACATTTTGTTATTAAAACACCTTCAGTCTTTTAATTTTTGTTTAAATGATCTGCTGTTTACGCCATATTATTTAATTAATTCAGAATGATTTCCAGACTAATGAAAATTTATAAATCACCAATGATGTAATCGGAAAACAGTGTAGGTTTATTTTTTTATCAATTACTTAAGAACTAACTTTTTGAGCAAACTATTCCCTGAAATGGATCTACTCGTTTTTAAAAGTCGTGTTTGCCGTAGCAATTACCCAAGCAGATCTATTTGTAAATTTAAATAAATATCGGTTCAACGCTTGTTCTTAAAATTTATGTCTTTTCTTTTGGATGGGGTCTATCCTTGTCGAGGATATGACCACTCGTTATTATTATTAAGATTTAATTTTTTATCATTACATAAAAGACGAATTATTATCGCCATTAAATTTTTGTTTTTTTTAGTTAGAAATCAAGTAGACTGCCCTGAATTGCTTCATTATTTAAATTTTCTTGTACCAAGAATTAGTGCACGCCATAATCATGTATTTTATTGTACTGCTGACAGAACTAACGTTTTAAGAAGATCTCCAGTTAGTATTATGTGTAGTTATTTTAATCAAATTTCACACTTATGCGATATAAATTTCGACTCTATTAACAAAATTGTTAGTTGTGTTAAGCAATCATTATATGGGTAGAATTTTCTTTTCTTTTTAGTTTTACTTTCTTGTTATTGTTAATTTTTAATTTTAATTTTTAGTTTTTCCTGTAATTGGGTGTAACCCCGTTGGGAAAAAAATAAAAAAAAATAAAAAAAAAAAATAATAAAATAAAAATAAAATATCGACACAAAAAATTGCATTCTCTACGTGTCATTACATCGGGTGATTTTTTTAATTAATTCTCTAGTTAGCCATGACGTGACGTTAGCCGTTTGAATTTCACTGCTGACGTACGCATTATGGCCAATTGGAGCAGAAATTTAAAAAATCACACGGTAGTTCTGAAAAAATACACTATTCGAATTTTAAAAATTTAACAAACATTGCAATTACTTCGAAATTACAGGTGGTAATATTGCTAAACTTTTATTTTTAAGTTGAGAAAAATTTATTTGTGTTTTGTTGTTAAGTACTTGCCAAAAATTCTCTGGTATTCTATGCAAACAAGACTAGCGTTTTGATAGATAAGAAAGCACATTTCATTGTTTTCCAAGCAGTGCATTAAAGTTAATGTTGTTTTTAATAGATCTGAGTCAATTAAACTGATCTGTCTAATTAAGATTTGTTAAGTTCCAATTACATGAGTTTTCACGTTTGTCAAAAGTACATTGTAAGTAAATTTTTTCGTATTATAATTATTATTGTATACAGGAATGGAATATAAATTACACATGAGTTTTGTTCTCGCCCCATTACTTAATTCCTTTGCTTTTGTGTTGCTACGGTTACTCAACTTGTAAATGAAATAATTTTGAAAAAGTTCCAACACTTCGCTGCATTTAATTATTTTTTTTTTAAGTATTATTTTAAGCTTATCGCTTTTTTTACTAACGTTAAAATTTAAGACAATAAGTGCGTTGTTTAAATGCACCAATCCACAGCCTACATGTTGTATTATTTTTCTATTAGAACCGACGAGACATAAATAACTAGTAATTCCGCTAAAACAGACAAAATCGACCTTTTTTGGCAACCAAAAGCAAGATTTTATACATCCAAAAACAATATGAAAAAAATTGAATGTTTTCGAAAAATGTAAAAATCTTTTTTTGTTGTAAAGTAGTACATGTGGTAGATTTTATAATGTACAACTAACGTCGTAGCCTGATAGATTGTAGACTTCGTTCTCTTTACATTTTTATACCACACATTTTTTTTTTAATTTTAACGTATTTAAGACCGAACAACATTAAGAATAGTTATTAGAATGAAATAGGTGGGCGGGGTTACTACTTGCTCATAAGACTGTAGAAAAAAAATCTTACTTAACTTAAATAGCACAAAAAAAGTTACAATTTCCGCTTTTTTATTTTTTTTATAGGCTAGGTTCTACTAAGTAGTTCCCACTCTCACTCTACAGAAGAATATATAATTAACCCCGCCCACCCACCCCACCTCTATTTCACTGATTAATTTTATCTGCTCAGAATGAAAAATGCATCTTATACTGAACAGAAATAAAATTAGGAAAAGGGTCGGTGGGTGGGCGGGGTTAGCACTTGCTAAGATAAGACAATATTAAGAATAGTTATTAGAATGCAATTTCTTTAGTGCTGCAAATTTTGCTAAAATATACTTAAGAGTGCCAAACGTAAAAATCTTTACATTACTAACGTAAGCAAATATTTCCAGTAATTTATTAGGGAAAATAAAGTTAGTGTTTATTATTACAAAATCTAGTAGTAGCTAGTTTCGTACCACAAAATGGATAGCACTATGTATCTCTGCAAAACATTTAATTTATAAAATTAAATTTAAAATTTTGTAAAACAACAAATTTCACTTCTTTGATACACCAACAAATGTCAAAATTATTATA